CATGTTTGCCGTTTACCGTTTTTACTTGCCCCATGCTGAAATCGCTCCTTTCTAGCCTTCCGGGTTTGCCGTGGCTCATTTTCCCTTAGCCTAGGCATCCCCATGCAGTCCATCGCAACTCGGATTGCAATGGGGGTCAATTCCCTAGCCCAATGCCCCACAACTAGCCCTTACTAAAAAAAAAAAGAAACGACCAACTCCCAAGTGCATCCGGACTAGATTTTGGCTCCGGATGCACCTAAAACATGTGTTTCTCCTCATGCATACAATCCGTTTCGTTCCGGTTGCATGGGGCCTTGATTTTCTTTGATTTTCTCTGAAAAAATCAAAAAAAATTCAAGTCCTTTGTAACCGCCATATTCCAGAATGAATCTGGTCACGGACGAATCTTCCCAAGTGACCGTTTTTTACCGTTAAGGCCTTTTTCTCTTTTCTTTTCTTTTCTTTTTTTTTCGTTTTCTTTTTTTTTCTTTTCCTCCTTTCTTGGACAGTAGGGACCTGCCATTCCCTACTTGTGGCAGTCCCTACTGACGGCCAACTCACTCACTCCCTCTCACTCTTTTTGTTTTATTCTCCCACATTTTTTTTTTTTTTTTCTCTCTTTTTTCTAGCATGCCAAGTGTCAAGTGGCCGTTAAGGCCCTTTTCTAGCCTCTTCCTCTTAGTTTTGGCCCTTCCTATGCCCAAAGTGCAGTCCGTTATATCTCGGATTGCAATAAAATTTCCTTCTCATGCCCATGAGAGCTTCCTTTCACTCCTATTTTCCTCCCATAGTGGCCCTCCTACTCCGATTTTCTCCCGGAGGGCAATTTTCCCCATGGGGTCTCTTTTGACTCCATTTTCTTGAGGGAGGATGATCCGAGATTTTTCGGATTTCTCCCATGCCTCCCACCTCAAGTTTCTTTACCTTTTCTTTTCTTTTGGCCTTTCCATTTGCTACCGCTAGTGCTTGCACTAGTGGTGCTAATATTTTTGGCCGTCAATATCTCGATCTTGACGGTGCACCTTGCCTTTATTATTTTCCCTCATGCGGTGCCGCCGTTTCTTCTTGGGACTTTCACTTGTCCCCGCCACTTGTTCCGTTTGTGGTCCCTGACACTTAGTCCCGCTTGTGGTCCCCGACACTTAGTCCCGTCGACGGTCCCTTACACTTAGTCTCGTCGGCGGTCCCCGACACATTTCGCCGCGGATGCCATTATGTTTACTTAGTCCCACGTGGCCCCGGGTGCCGTTCCCCGAGGTGTCCCATGTCCCTTGGGCGTTTTGCCGCCCCATGGTGACCCCTTTCCCTTGTCTTTTCTTGCGCCTTGCGCGCGCCGGTTCCTTTGGTCACGGGCCTCTACCCCGAGGCTCGTGTAGGTGGCCCCCATGTTGACCCCTCGTTCTCTATCTTCCCGAGGCCTATGGGCCGCCCGTCCCTTGACTCCCTCATTCCTTTATCGTTGTCGTGCTGCGTTTGCTGGTTCAAGGGCCCTTTGGCCTTAGTCTTATTGCATTCCAACGGCCCTCCCGGCCTCGTGCTATGTTTTATGTGCCCCTGTTCTTGCGCTCGCTTGCTTGCCGTCGCTAGTTCTTTCCTCCTGTGGTTCTCTCCCCAGGGCATCACTCCCTCCTGCGGCCTAATCCTTTGTCTTTTCTCTCTCCTGCCTCCTCACTCCAGATTTCTCTGTTGTGCACAGTTTGCCCATATCCAGTCTCTCGAGTGATGGGAAGTTATTCGGGACTCACCAGTCCCGACACATTTCCCCCACTCATTCGCGATGTCCTCATCGCGCACCAATCTCTTGTTAGTGGGTTTTGGAGGGATAGACAGGAGATGAGGAGGAGATGTTATGGGTAGTTAGTTTTCCAGGGTCCATTTTGTCTCTTCTTGCTCCTTTCTCGGTTTTCTTTTAGTTTCCGGCCTTCGAACGGGGAGGGGTGTATAGGGTCAAGCTTTCTTTGTCCTTTAGGCTTCTCACGTCTCATTCATCACCCGTAGTACATCAAAACCCCATTTGTCTCATTCATTACTCTTAAAACATCAAACCCCCCTTTCGTCTCATTCATCATTCTTAAAACATAAAAAAAAATCCTTTCACCTCATTCATCACTCTTAAAACATAAAAAACCTATTTTGTCTCGTTCATCACCCTCAGAGCATCAATCCTCCTTCCGCTGCCCCCGCTTCTCCCTCGAGCCTTGCCACCCCAAGCGCCCTTCGGTTGATCCTCCTCCCATCCCTTGCAAACGAAACCCTTTTTTCCGGTTTCCGTCCCCCTTAATGCCTTTTCTACTTGGATCTTCGGCCCGTGCGATCCATTCCTCCCGTCATTCTTTCCTCGATCTCCCGCTTTGCCAAATGTACACGTATTTTTTCCCATGTCATTTTGTCCAGTTTTCTATAGCCCTGCCCACTCTGCATGCACGTCACCCCCACTCTCAAAATCCGCATTACTTAGTTAATTCCATACGCATCTTTCTTCTGGCATCTCGCCAGGCCTTGCTCATATCACTTTTCTGGGCGTCTTGCAAGTCCTTTCCTTAAGCCTATGCAAACCCAATTACCCATGCCTTTCTCTTCTGAATATTTTGCCAGGCCTTCTCTCAAGCGTGCGCAAGGTCAATTACTCATCCATTTCTCTTCTGGCCCTCTTGCCAGGTCTTTTCTCAAGCCCATGCAAAGTCAATTACTCGTCCATTTCTCTTCTAGCCCTCTTGCCGGACCCTTTTCTCAAGCCTGTGCAAAGTCAATTACTCATCCCTTTTCTTTCTTCTCGACATCTTGACAGGCATTTTCTCAAGCATGCGCAAAGTCAATTATACAAGCGTTTTTCTTCTAGAAATCATGCCAGGCCTTTTCTCAAGCCTGCGCAAAGTCAATTACCCAATTTCTTGAGTTCATGGTAACCTTCTCTTTCGCACGCTTTTTCATTGGTAGATGGCACACCTTCCCCCCACTCAGAATGCGATGTCCCCATCGCACGACTAGTTCTCACTCGGAGGTACGCAGACCTTGGCCCACCAACGAGTAGACGGATGTGGGCCCATCAACCCCAAAAAGGAAGGGTGATCAGTCCTCCCCCTGCTGATAACTCACCCCATCCCCTACTCCGTCCGACCTTTTGTCGCTTACGAGACGGTCGTCATTACTGAGGTACTTCCTCATATCTGGCAGGTAGGTCCAGTCCAAAGCCTCCCAGGACCCCGTCTTGTCATAAGGACTTTCTCGCGAATCGTTCCTCCTGAGTGGTGTTTTCTTGGATCCGGCCTCTTCCTTTCAAGAGAGTTGGGACTCTCAATTAGTTTGCGAGTGCAGTTACGAAGACCTCGCGGTTAGTCCCGTAACCGTTGTAATGATCCGGCAGGGCGGTGTTACTCGCCCTTTGGTGGTTGCGGCTTCCATCCGGTACCACGCCTGACTCCTCCCTCTGGATAGTGCTGCTCAACTTAACGTGAGCCACTGTGGTCCATTCCAAACGGTCGTGCCGCCCCTCTACAACATGGCGTGTGGTTGGGGAGAAAAATGAGACTTAGGAAAAAGAATGGCTCTCTCGCCCGTTTGGCTCCACGCCCTTGACTTTTAGGTTCTCGACATGAGGCGCAGTTTGAACTCCCCGACTAGAGCTCGTTGTCGGAGTTAGTTCCAGACGGCCCGCATCAATCAAAGAGAAAGATGCCTTGGTCCTTCAACCCTTATTTTCCCTTATAAGGAATAGGTCGCGCTGAGACTTTTCCCTTGACGGGTAGAGGTCCCGGGGTTGCGATGCATGCATCACTCTCCTCCTTATGTCGAGACCTGAGACTAGAAGAAAGGGAAAACTCAATCTCCTGCCATTTCCATGGTCGGCCCGACGACCTTACATCAAATTGCCTAGGGTCCCCTGACTATGCAATGTAATATCAAATTCTCAAACATTCAATCCAATGCTATTTCCAAGGCTGATTCTCATGGCTGGTCCGGCAGCCTCTCATCAATCAAGGTCACCTCTTGTGGCCGCTCTGACAGTCACTTTCTCAATAGCCATCTTTTCAAGGGCCGACCCATCGCCCCTCCTTCAGTTCTCAGCTCTCTCATTCCTCAATATCCAGTCCTTACGACCGTCCCATCGGTCCATGTCTTTCTTGTTTTAAGGCTCGACCTTCTTTATCCTGCCCTTCTCTTCTTAACGCATCATCCCCTTTTATCCATCCTCATGGCTATTTCAATGACCGACCCATGGCCTTTTCCATCTCTCATTGCCCCTTCCAACTCATTCTTAGTCAACCTTTCTCAATCAACCTTTCTCAATCAACCTTTCTCAATCAACCTTTCTCAATCAATTATGCAAGGGACCCCAGTGCCTATTTCAAAAGGAATAACCCTTGTAAGGGGCCATTCCCGAACAACCTGGTTAGGGTCGTTCTTTTCCATTCTCAAGTCGAACAGCCTGGTTAGGGTCATTCCTTTCCATTCTCAAGTCGAACAGCCTGGTGAGGGCCATTC